GGTAGAAATATTACAATTAAAAATATCAAATAAGAGACAATGGCAAATAACAGAAAAGTCTACACCCTCAAAAAAATTGTAATTTTGACAATGTTTAGAGGTATAAACATATAATTACAATTAACTATGTATGAAATGTTGGGGTTAGTCACCACACATGGCTTATGCGGATAAAGCCAGCCCTGATTACTTGCTATTTTTGGTTTCCAGATGCTATTTTTTGGGTATCACAGATGCCATAATTTCATAATTTGTTCACATCATGCATTCTGTTTCTGCCCCTTGCTGGGGAGTGGTACTGTATTTGGCTCTATAATTGCCAGTTGCTATTTTCGGGCATCCCAAAATTATACTTTTAGACTACAATATTAGGGAACAGCAATCATAATAACGTCTTTGATTGGATTTGAATATTAATTTAGTCTGATGACCTCGTCGTGGTGTCAGACGAGTGGTGGTGGGGGATGTCGAGATTTGTAACGGGTTGGCGACCCGACAAAATCAACAATTCCAATGCAATGCAAAGCAACGATAACTAAAATTAAATCAATATCAAACATGCCTATACGCTACAACCAGAACCATCAAATTTTTGCCCAGCTTCTTAGTCCCCATGCTCAATGGGAAGATATGGCTTTGCTTTCTGGAAGTATTACTATTTTATAAGACTAAATATAGCAACCCTAATTAGTCTATACCAAATCGAAACTACTGATTTTTCTAGGGGCTTTTTCCCTGCACCCTTACCGGGGCCTTTATTTTCCATTGATTCCAAATTGGACTCACTTTAAACAAAGTTTCATCATCATCAGCATCATCATAATTATTTCATATTTTTTCTGGGTATCCAGGTAAACAAAGTTTCCACGGTATGACCACTGAATCTCTGTAAAACTAGCCACATTTAACAACACTGTGCCCCTCCCCACTCTTTTACAAAAAAAAAGCTGGATAGCCCTTGAATGTTAGTGCTCTGTCTCACCTGTTAGATCTGAACATGGAGGTATCTATATGCTCTGTCTGAGTATAATCGCTGTAAGGTCTACCAGAAGAAAACACGGGATTTAATTACAGAATTTTAACAATTCAAGTTATTTGTGTAGGCGTAGGAGGCCTTCTGTATTTCCATAGATAATTCATAGCGTACTGTATCATGTGTATTCATAGAAAATGTTCTAGGCCTATTTATTAATTGCATATTGTTAATATTTCTCAATACTGCACGTCGTGTAGATATAATTATAGTTATCATTGTTATTCCTTGTACATAGTGTTTCCTGCACTTTATTTATTCATGGAGGAATAAGCAACTTAATTGCATTTTGAACAATATATCATTTTCGCAGTAGACCTACATTTGTCTATTCCCGTGAATTAAAATGATCTTACGAATTGTAATTTGGTCAATGCTACTACATTCTGTGTCCAGATATAGAATTTTTAACCTGGATGCTTTTTTCTGTGCCCACTCTTTAGCATGGCTTAGTCCTTTATTATCTCTATTTTTTTCTTGAGTCATACCAGTAAGAATATGATGCCCTTTAAAAAAAATCTTCCTATTAGTATTATATATGGGAGAGTACCTCATGAACATTATTCACACACCCTCGAGCCTGCTATGAGGATATATTCATGCCACGAAACTTAGAATATGGAATATAGTGTACGCTGGGAGCAAATATTTCAATATAGATAAATTTAGTAAATGACGATGTACAGTATATATTGTACTACATATTTTCATAATATGTATGCAACTACTGTACTAGCCTACTCCTTTTTTTTAATTTACTGTACATAATAAGAATGATAACGTTTACCTTACCGATTTCAAGAGTTGGAAAACCTTGAATTTTGAAGTATTTTAAAGTCCTTAAGTCATTAATAGACACGTAGCTCAAAATAGGGAAAGCTCATTTCCCGCCATCTAGGAATCTAATTTTTTCGGGGGAGGAGCCCTGAGGGTTTTGGGAAAACTCTTGGCCCCCACCCCCCAAATTTGAAAAATAGAGATTTTTTTTACTCAATACAGTTGTTACAACCTATAACACATTAACTACAGCGTAAATTCTGTAGTTAACCTTCAGAGAACTTTATTTTTAAAAATGGCCTAATTAAGTATCTTATTGTTTTCGTTAAATTAGATAGAGTTTAATTGTGGTTGTATTCCGCTAGTTTGAAGGTTTACTGTAAGCCAATCAGTTACACTTACTATACATATTCGTGGTTAGCATAAAGAGAACTAGAGCGTCGCTCCATTAAGAGTGCCTACCTTCCCCTTTATGCCTAAGTACAGAATTCATGAGGGCAGGCGATTTTTTCTTCATGCTTGAGGGTGGGATTCAAGGAAACATTACAGACGCGCGTATACAGACATTAATCAACATTTGGTTGCTCAACTCAAAAAGGGAACTTGTAATGCTCGTTAGAAAATGAAAAAAAAAATTATTTTATAATGATAATAATGATAATAACAAATAAACAAGTTTTCTAACGTACGCACCAAATAATAATAATATTAACGATAACAATAATAATATTAATAATACTAATAATGATAATAATAATAATAATAATAATGATAATAATAATAATAATAATAATAATAATAATAATAATAATAATAATAATAATAATAATAATAATAATAATAATAATAATAATAATAATAATGACATTGTAGCGTTCGTAAAATGTTTGTCACTGGTGCTGGGAAAAGTCATAAAAGTGGGGGAGCCCCCCCCTCCCAGTAGAAAAAGTGGGGGAAGGCCCCCAGCAGAAAAAGTGGGTGCCCCCCCCCACTTCCGCCACCGTTGATACCACATATATGCCTATGACCTTTTCAAAAATATCTACATATTTTGTCATTTTCTGTAACGTAAATGAGCACTAGCCGTCCGCTTATTATATAAAGTTAAATGTTTTTCTTGTTTTATGAGAGAAGATAATTTTGTTGACTTTGCATGGTTATTGTGAATAAATATTCTCCTTTAGCATAAATTTCTATATTAGGCCTATATATTATTTTATATTTTATTAATGAAATTTACAAAAACCTTAATTAAAAGCATTGATAGACCAACTACTATTTGAAAAGACAATAAAATTTAATTCATTTCAAGCATTTTTCATAAATACTATAATAGTTTATTTATTACTAAAATTTAGGTCTTCATTATTATACTTATTTTATGAAAAATTAGAATATTTTAATTTGCATAGCAACGGTTGCTATGGTGATGACCTTGTATTTTATTACATCATTAAATTCACTTTTCTATAAAAAAAAAACTGTTTATCGTATAAAAAATATTGTATAAGCCAATCTAATAATATTTTTCTTGAGATAAATAATAACAGCAATTATGTGAATTCCATTCGTTGCTATGGAGTTTTAAAAGTTCCGTAGCACTTTAGTAAAGGTGTTTGTTTGATTGGTTTTTTTTTAAATATTGCTCTTCCATAATACATAACCTAAATACAAAAATATTCATAAACCTATGACAATGATGATTTCAATACGGTAAGCTTTAAGCATCCCTTATACTTAAATTTCATGAATACAATAGGAAATTTTAATTTGCATAGCAACAGTTGCTATGGTGATGACCTTGTATTTTATACATCAATGTGTTAACTTTGTTCAATAAGAGATGTTTATTATATAAAAATATTGTATCTCATGATTTTTGCTTAGTCAATGACAAATGTACAGCAATTCTGCTGATTTTGCTTTGTTGCTATGGATGATAAAAAGAGTGTTGCTATGCAATTATATCAAAGTTTCAGTATTTTTTTACATAAACCTATTCTATGATAATAATAGATAATTCAGACGTTAAACATATTCATAAAACCTATGAAAATAAAGATTTTAATAAACTTTAGGCTTCCTGTATACTTAAATTTCATGAATAAAATAGGAAATTTAAATTTGCATAGCAACGGTTGCTATGGTGATCGAAATTGTAGTTTTTCTAAACGCAAGATTCTTTTTCGATAATTAACGAATATTTTGAGTAAGTTTCACCAATTGTTGATGATGATTATTCGAGTAATGTTATTTTTTATATTATATAGCTAAATCTATAATTTAAAGCGGAAAAATGGCGGCCATTTTGAATGCGTAATTTGGAGATGTTCCCCAAAAGGGATTTTGGGTAATTTTGAGTTCTGAACTTCTCAAGACATATATTTTCAGAAAATATAAAAATTAGCCGGTAGTACTTCCATTGCCACCTCCACCCCAAAATAGCCTCTAATCTGCTGGCCTATTACCAGAGCTGTAAGGTTGTCAATCAGCTGTACTACAGGTTTAAGATTCAGCAGAAGGTCCTCAGCAAGGTTAGTAGCAGCCTCTTTTTTGGCCTGCTTAGCCTACAATGAATATAAGTAAGCATTAAATAAATTAGTATGGCAATACATTAATGAAATTATTCCTTAAAATGTTGATGTGCATTTACTTATTCACTATAATATATATTTTTATTTTTTTAAATATTTTCAACCAGGAAAATACTGTTCATAGTTTTAATATGTATGTTTAAAGCAATCATGGTCGATAAAATATTTAAATATAAAAAAAAATAAAGCTTAAACTATAGAGATCCCTTCAAAATTTTTTGCCCAAAACCCTTGCAACAGCAGTTTTATCAAAGTTCACAATCGGTGTAATGAAATTCAGGGTTTTCTGATTCATGATTTAGGTGTTAATCGAATGCCTATCGCTAAGAAGTTTATTCACAAGCCACCTTCAGAATTCTTACCTGCAATACTTGTCTGACAACCACAGCCACATGTTTGAGGGCAGTATTTAAGGTCTCTAAGAGAGAATGTATGAGGGTCAACACTGACTTATTGTCTGATTTCTCATCCTGTCTTTCAACCAATTGGGATGCTGCATTGAACAGATCAACTATGTACCTGACCAATCCTGGAGTAATAATAATAATATGTTAGATGTATAATAGCGCTTAATGCCAACAAGGCCTCTAAGCACTTCACGTTATTAGCCCCGGTCATTGGATCAAGCACATATGGAACTCATACTCATCTCCCTGAGGAGAATTCCATAATGCTGAATGCTAAATCACATTTTGTGTTTTAGCCTTCCAAGTACTCACTTTACTCCTGGGTGGAGAGAGACAACCATAGGTAAAGTGCTATGCCGAAGGACACAAGCAAAATGCACAGTGGGCTACATAATTTATTTACAAAAACATGAAAGTTACATTAAGATGATCAACTTGATTGACTGACTGACTGAACAATTGATTGATTGATTGAAGGAACAATTGATTGATATATATTGATTGATGACTTGATGGATAGAATAATGATTAATTTAACGATCGACAGATGATTTGATGAGTAGATTGATTGATGGATAATTAGATAGAAGGATTTATTGACTGATGGAGTAAAAAGATTGGTGGATAGATTGATCAACTGATGCATGGATTGATGGATTGATGGGTGGAGTGATAGATTGATGGATGGATGGATTGATAGATTGATGGATGGAGTGATAGATTGATGGGTGGAGTGATACATCGATGGGTGGAGTGATACATTGATTGATGGATGGATGGATGCATTGGTGAATCAATTCATTGATGGATGTTTTGGTGGATAGACTGATTAATTTATAGATGGACCGATTAATTGATTGATACAATTGGTAGACTAACAACTGAATTGGTAGTTTGATGAATTATCAATTGAAAGATGAATTAATAGATTAATTGATTGATTGATCAATCATTTGATTAAATTGATTGACTTATTGGCTGATGGATTAATAGATTAATAGATTTATGAATTGACTGACTGTTAGTTGAAGGGAACTCACCAAGTTCAAAGAGCTCAGGAATACAGCTTTGATCTGTGATAAGGCACTGGAATATGTTAAGCACCAGGCACATTGCACTGCTAGTAGGCACTTGCTGATGGTCAACCAAAACTTGAAATAACACTTGCACTAGACTTAGCTCTTGTATTTTCCTGCATAAAACAAGCAATTTAATTTACTTTAGTACATTTATCAATACAAGAATAAAGTACATGTTCTGGATTTGTTTAATATTAAATAATATATATATAGGGTTGATAGTTTAGTTATAATAAAACAAATGCAGTGGTATTTTTAAAATCCTAATGCCTTCAAATTATTTTAATAATAGCTGCCACCATCGATGTTTTTTGGTTCACACTCACCACTGTTCTCACGAATCTGAATCTGAATAGATACACAAAAAGGATCCCACTGGAGTACATGCATCATCAATATACAAGCAATTATGTGTCATCTATTTATCTAGGATTTTATTTATTTAAATATATATATTGTACTATTAAATGAATTTGTGTAGACAAGACAAGGTATATAATTTGGTTTCGGTGCCTCAAGCAGCGTATCCAACAACCGACGTTGTAGCAGCTCCGCTTACACTAACGCGTATACGCATAAGCATGCTATCAGTATTATTTACATTACATAATTTATCACCAACATAGTTAAATTAGTCAAAATATACACGATAAAGTAGGAAGTTAAGAAAGCTGAGTCTACCTAACAAAGTCAGGGTTTCTCTGGACAAGTGCCAGCATAAGCTTCAGTGCGTATGCAGGGAATGGGTCCGGTTCAAGCAGTACTCTTTCCAAATCTTCCATCACATGTTCATTTATTATTTCATATATGATTTTTTCGTGGGTGTCACTTGTTGGTGCCTCTTCCACTAAATGCTTATGGTTCAGGTAAAGGCTGGTAATCTCAACTAAAATATGTAAACAAAGTGCTTTTGTGTTTCCTGCAAGAAGAAACAGAAAACAATTTGAAAAAAGACATACCTCAATTTTTGAAATAAAATATTTAGATAAATATCCTGAATTCAAATAAATTATTTAAATTATTGACAATAGCAATATAAAAAAAAAAAAAATAATAATAATAAAAAGAATAATAATAATAATAATAATAAAAAGAAGGCAAATTATGATAATAATAATGATTACGATGTCAATAATTTTAAAATAACTAAAATACTAAAAATTAATGATAGTCTATTTGATAATTTATGTTGAGCCGACATTCAATCTTTTTATTTGTTCAAAATATAAACATCCAAAGCTTATATCCAGTGACTAGTTGCACAGCACGTGACCTCACATTACCTATAGCTGTGCTGCTATAACATGTCACTCTTAACTTTATATAATCCTACGCCTGTTATATATCAATTGAAGCATGTACTGACCATTGTCAGAGGTGACCAGCTGGGCCAGGTGGGGGTAAACAGACACAATGATGGCCTCTTGGTACTGCATTAAGATCCCAGGGTGTTGTGTAATGGCTTCCACTATTGACAAGACAGTGTCAATATATTCTTCTGTTCCACTACGACCTGTAAAATTAATTACTATTAAAATTCGATAAAATAAAACGTTCGGATACAGGTTGATAAAAAAATATGAGATATGCCTATATTTGGGTGTAATATGACATCATCAAGTCCATATATGGGCACATCACACAAATTTATCACATAAAATTTGGTAAGTGTAGACAGAGCTTCAGAGACATTGACAGATGATTTATATTCTGTCATTCTCTTACAAAGTTAATGCATGATGATGTCCAGAACCACCAAAATAGATCAAGATCCGATGGTAGCTGACATGTACGTTATTTTTTTCAAATATAGGTCTCCCACTAATTAAAGACCAAAAAAAACACTTTTCTGCATCTCAAAATGAACACTCCATCTTTGATTTAAAAGACAATGAAAAACCTTGGTCCCCAAAATCGTCTTCAATTGGAGAACATCTGCATATATCTTTGTTGGGGTGAGAGACTTTCCAAATAAAATTACTTTAATTACAGTTAATAGGCACAACATGTAAGCAATTTTAGATACTCGAACATACCAATTGCGGGATCTATATTAGTCTCGCCAGAATCAATGAGCTTCAAGTGACTCACAAGCTCTCCCATGGAGGTGACGAACTGTTCATCAGCTACACGAGCACGAAAGATCTATAAAAAAAATTCAATTGTGTTCTAAATCAAGCACATACTCAGGTTCCTTGGGGGAATTCCATAATTTTGCAGATGTAATCAGCAGTAAAATCAGTAGGTCTTTGAACCTACCAGGTAGCCACTTGTACTCCTGGGTGGAGAGAGACAACCACAGGTAAAGTGCCTTGCCCAAGGATACAAGTGAATGCACAGCAAGAGATTGAAACTCCGACCTCAAGGTTGAGAGCAGAACCGCCACTGCTGCCCCTACATTCATTATTTGTAATTCTAATACAGCATTGTCGCACACAAAGGGGGGGGGGGGGGTGGCAGGACAGTTTCAGAAAAAGGGAGTAGCACATAACATTACACTGAAATTTAAAAAAAATAGTGGCAAAATGTGGCGGGCACATTCCCCCCCCCCCACTTCCATGTGCGCTTCCTCTCCCCTAAGCTACTGGATTGGGGCCTGTTGTATTGAAATGCGGCCTACATTGAAGTAGGGCTGCCCTCTTGTACGTGAAAATACAGCATACAGTAGGCCTAGCCTAGTTTGGTGTGAGAGAAAGGTGGATGCATGCATATTGAGACGTGTTTACGTAAATTTGAAGTATTGATTGGTGGAGTTGGTTTGACCCTAAACTTAAACTTAATGCACTATGTCATTGCAGAAGAATTGCCATATTGATCCGATCCCCAGTGCATGAGATATGAGCATATTCTTTACAGCAGTTTCAGAGGAGATACAGTAGGTGAACTTACACCAGGGTGTTAGTAAAATTAATATATAGATTATGTAAGTGCAATGAAATTTAATAGAATACCAATATCACAAATAACAATAAATTAATAAACCCTTAAGTGAAATTATGTGTAAATAAAAAAAATAGGTGAACCTTTAAAGGTGCATAGATTGCAAATGATGTGCACAGCTACAGGGGAAAATGTCGTATATAATAATAATAATAATAATAATAATAATAATAATAATAATAATAATTCTGGATTTATATAGCGCCTCCCGTTGACACTATTACACTATTATATGAGCAGGTGGTGAAGGAGGGGCATGGAAGGAACGAAAAAAAATGTATTTGATTAAGCATCAACTTAACTGTAACATATCAGAATACATTAAACCAGGTAACAGATTTGTAGGGTGGGGAGTTGTTTAAAGGAGAGTGATCTTTAGAGCAGTGTGAGAGGGGGGAAATTATGGTGCTGGGCCTGGGGTCATTGTCTTGCTTATGCATTAGTGATTTGAATGAAGCAGTTTGTTCATTAGAGGTGACAGAGATACTAGGGAGCCTTAGATCTTACGTACTACTTTAAATCAATTTTGATTTTTTAACAAGTACACGGATATGCCATGAACTCCAAGACTGAGGCGCACCAATGTTTAATGTTCTGGCCTGAACGTAGACTCAGCCGACAACATTTCCAGATTTCAGGGAGAACATAACGCACACAATTCAGACATGCGCAGTTAAATTAACATGACATCATTACATTCTACGTTGTCACAAATCAAATGCTCCCCATTGTGAATTGTTATCACTTTACCTGGCTGGTGATTAAATGGAGGGAAACTGGCAGAAGAGGCAGTGTGGACTTAAGTTGCTTGGCTTGTAGGGTCGATGGGTGCCGTCTACCTGCTACTGACTCCAGACTTTGAACAGCATCACCTAATAATATAAAAGAATAGAAATCAACTTTATTGCATGGAGTTTTCTATGAGTGATATTGAATGTTTATTGCTGCGAAGCAGCCAATTCATATTCTTGACAGCAATTTGACCTCTGAAAGGTCATTGTTTGTCAAAAATCAATCGCCTGAGACAACTGAAAAGCGGAGTTTCCTTCTTTCGTTCTGCCGGGTAAAATCAATTACTTTAGGCGACGTTTGTAGACTAAACTACTCGTACCAACGTCGGCATGTCGCGACACTGGAGTACTATTCAGCATTTTTACTATATTTCTAGGTTTCCTATTTCTAGTATCTTATACACATCTAGATGTGTATAAGAGACAGCTGTAATACTATTGTACAATGCCAAGA